CAAAGTGAATTAGGTGTACTGAAAAGATGCAGAGTTCAACTAAAAATACATTTAATTACAGGGCACATTAACCATGTTTAAAAACCAAGTGACACTTGCTGGACAGGTAGTACATGGAAGAAACACTCCAAAGTCCAACTCCTTGCCCTAGAGGGAGAAGACAAAAGGCAGAAAAAGAACACAGTAGCTAAGGGCAAGCAGGAGATTATTTGAGGATTAAGAGCTATTGAATTGGATTGATGTAGTGTATGAGATTAAATGAAAAAAGCTGAGGTGTCAAATTTCTACCGTATATAAAAAAACAGTAAAACCAACAACTATTGCAGCCTTCACATTATATAGTGCAATCTCAGACGTCAATAACAAGCTAGTTTCTCCAAACAAAATAATATATAAGAGAAAACAGATTTTATCAGGAACTCATAGTGTCAAAGCATTATTTCCCTAAAAAAACCTACAAAACTAAGTTAAAATCTGTCTCCCACCAGGTAAACACGTGGTTCAGCTATATAATGTGCACACCCAGCACCTATGATAATATGTAGTGAACCAAGATTTGCAACTCCCATGTAGCTTTAAAAAAAAAAAAATTCAAAACCCACAAAGATCACATACAAGACACTAAAAAGCAAGTCCCCACTGGGGAATATAATCTATCCACTAGTATTTGCCTCATTACACAATTTTAAATATTTAAGGTCATCCAATACTTGATTTCCATATCTAATTCTTCTTTAATCCATTTATTAAAATAATCTATTTTTTCTCTTCCTATTAAATACATTACTCATGGTTCAAGCAAATTTAGACTATTCTGTCTGTTTCCAGTATTTTACAGAAGGGAAAAAAAAAAAGGACAAAATCCTAACCAGATGCTGCCAGCAGTTACTCAAGACCTAGTTGGATTTTGTTACAGATTTAAGTTACTATTAAAGTTCAAACATTTAGGAAAGGTAATTTTCAGAATACCTTGAAAGTTAAAATTGCAGTTGATACTGCAAACACACTAGGATCTCAAGAATAACTCACCATTATGAAGGAAATAATTTCATTTTTACTGAATTTACAGTTTTAGATCCTAGTGCACAGATAATCAATTATTTATTAGAAGCTTTAAGCATATTGCTTTGAAAGCAGCTCCATAATCTACTGAGTATACTAACTCATGCACTTTTAATCACCTTTAAGTTGGTCATTCAGTACTTGATATGTAAGGCTTACAAGTGGTATAGAAGTCTAGAAAAGCTATAGTGGTTTTACGTCAGATTTCTTTAAAAGAGAATTCCACAAAATTAGTTATAAACTTAAAATGACCACGCTTTCACATGGGAAAATATTCAGCTACTCCTGAACACTTACACTAGTTGATGGATAACTGATTTTAGTTTATCTTTTCTATTAAACAAAACAACAACAAAACTCAACAATGCATCATGTCAAAACCAGAAGAAAACCATCTGTTTTACTAGTGTCCCTAAGAGCTACAAGGAGAAACAAAGATTTATATGGGACAATGCTGCATAGTCCTTCAGCTCTCCTCACATGGTAAGTCTTACGGGTTTCAATAGGCTACTCAAAATAATACAGGTTTGTTATCTAGACATACAGCTGCAACTTACCCATAGAATACATGGGCTTAATAGTCTTACACCTGCAAAGCTTATGATCACATGTACAGATATTAAATGATGGAGTCTAATGTAAAATAAAGGGGTACTAGCTTAGTTTTCCTCTCCTAACTTTAAAATAATTAGCTCTTCCACATGTCATAAAACATGGTCAACAGAAATATAATCATGTAACAATACAAAAAGTGTTGAGGTCAGAAGAGTAAAAAGAGCTTTTGTATTTTTCGTAGCATCTATGAATGGAATGATTTCAGTTCATTACCAAAAGCCAGAATTTCATGTCTTACTGTAATTCTTTATAACAGAAGCAAACAACAGTTTAATCACTAGGTGTTTCAGTCTCTGCTGGACCTCTAATCAGTCTTCGTATTCCCCTCTTCCCTGCAGGACCTTTTGGTTTAGCAAAACTTTGTTTGTGAGCGTGTTGTTTTGGATGAACCTCTTCATAAAGAAAGTCAGCAGTTAACTCATCACCATTATCTATTTCAATCTGAAAAAAAAAAACAAAAAACCAAACCAAACATTCATCATAGTCATCTTAAAACATTTAGAAACATTTAAAAACATTTTGCTGAAGCTCTAAATACTATATTAAAACCATATGTGCAATAATGTTCAGAGCCAGCATGAAATATTCTCCCAACTTTTGCCTAACGCCCTCAGCAATCTTGGATAGTTTTTCTGAGAATCCACTATACTTTTACCAGAATTAAGTGTGATTTGAATTAATTATTTTTCCTGAAATATAAGCACAACTACACAGTACCTATGCCAAGAAACTTCCTCTGTCTCAAGCTTTAGCATAGTGGACATGCGGACAGACTTTGCATATAGGTCCTGTAGTGATAGGACAAGGGGCAATAGTTTTAAACTAAAGGAGGGTAGATTTAGACTAGATGTAAGGAAGAATTTTTCACAATGAGGGTGGTGAAACACTGGAACAGGTTGCCCAAAGAGGCAACAGAAATCCCATCCCTGGAAACATTCAAGCTCAGGTTGGATGGGGCTCTGAGCAACCTGATGGAGTTGAAGATGTCCCTGCTCACTGCAGGGGGGTTGGACTAAATGGCCTTTACAGGTCCCTTCCAACCCAAACCATTCTATGATCCTATCACTAATATTAACTAGGAGTACACGTTCCACGCGGACACAAGTGCTTATTTACTCCTCTGTAAAGTGACTTCGATAATAAAAGATAAGAAAGCAGCATGTGATCTTTCAGAACGACAATTTCCTTTCTTTATTCTCCTCTCTAAAAGAAAAACTTTTAATTGTCCCAAAGTAATCTCCACATTTTAAGAATTACAGTATTTCACTAGAACGTGCTTTAAACACTAACTGTAAAAGCAATGTGCATACATGTTGTCTCTTGAGATAGAAGGGGACGAGTACAAACAGCTTATATGATTAGCTGGCTACTGCAACTCAAAGTATTTAAGCCAGGGGGAAAAAAAGCTAAAATAATTTAATGAACAAAAGAAGGGGTTGTTTTGGTTTTTAAAATTTAAGCATATAAACCCAAATGGAAAGAAAACAGTGTTCTCAAGCCAAACACCACTATTTTGAATTGCAGGAATTTAGAATTCAGAGAAATGCTTTGGCCTTGCTCTGCTGCTCTGCTCAGCACTTCATGGCCTGCCAACCATAGTACTTGACAGACTTGCCAACCACGGTATTGCTGTGACAAGTACGTGCTTCAGAAATACATCTACAAGAATTTCAGGAGTCACACTGTGCATTTATTTTGTTGTAGAAAGGAAATTTCTGAGAAATAATTCAATATAAAAACACATAGTGATAATCTGCTTAAGTCATGTCACCACAGTAAAAATGTTTAGTATTAACTCTATTGGTTTTTAGGTAGCCATAATCCCCACAGAAACCAAGCCTCAAAGTTCTTCTAAATTTACAGCACAAGTGTTGAGAATGTAACCATAGGTCACATATTCCACAAATGGACAATTCCTATGGTCCCTGCTCTAGAGGTGAGAAGCATTTTACTCTTTCTGCATAGTAGTAAAATCTATACAATGTGAAAAGATCAGCTTGCAAATCCTTGTTTCCCCCATCAAGGACTCCTAAAGTAGCAGTTTAACTTCCAGAACTGCAGCTTGAAATTATTTTGAAAATCCTTAAATCTGCTGTGGTCCAAAATATGACAGGCCTTTTAGTAAGAAGCCATGTTATTTCTAAATAGTCCTCCAAAGTACTCTCAGATACTCCCTTGATGCACGAGGATATGTTTATTAAAGCTACAAAAGTGTAGAAATTATAAACTAGAGAAAAGCTTCCAAGACTTAACTTTGTATCTGAAGCTTTCTCAACAAGTATTTCTTGTTCAGTAGAAACTTTTAATAGTTATGCAACACTTTTCATTGTTTATAGAAGGTGGTGGCAGAGGCAGTTAGTTAGACATTAAGAAGGGAACAGAGGGATGGAGTAAATACCAGTATACCCAGTGTACTTACCTTTCTAATTATCTGCATCCACAGCTGTCCTTCTACAATTTCTAACAGTGGACTTTTGCAACTAGAGTAGAGCATTCGTTCTCGTATACTACAGGTATACCCTGGCATAGAGTAGATGAAAACTGCAGGAAAATAAAAAAAAAAAAAATCACAAATCGGACCATAACTACAATCCATCAAAGTCTGTATCACAAAATAATTTACAGCAGAGAGGCATGGCAAATCCACTATGCAGTCTGAAAGGGAAAAATGTAACACCATTCTGGATCTTTTTTGCTTCAGCAAGTGTTTAATTTCAAATGGTGATCAGAGAAAGGCCAGTACCTTTATGTTTTCACATGACAACTGATTTATGGGTGTTCATTATCAAAAGGGATAGCTCACTACTTTCTAAACATAAGCACTCTTCAGAAGTCAGTTTCACAAACAAATGACTGAAATTGATGCTGTTGCTAACAGACAGATTACTTCTATGACACATCTTTCTTTCTGCCTCAAAATTATTAAAGTACTTGAAAGAAGCCAATGAAATTTCATATTGGGAAATTTTGTCATACCTATGGATTCCAAATAGTCTCCTTCATGCATATGCTTGTATAGGAAAAAGTGGTAACGCGCAGCATCCTTTGGAATTCTTTTTGGCAAGTCCTTAAGTTCAGTATGAAGTGTGTTGGCCAAAATAATAGTTTCATTTTTCATATCAATTTGCTGTTAACAAAGCAAACCTGAATATAGTTAATACACAGAAAGGAAACCAGAGAACATGACAGAATGGAAAGAAAAATTGAATTAATCTAATACAGAATGGTAATTTATCAGTGTACGTCATCGATGCACATTGTTTACTGTGTAGGTAATCTATTTTATACTCACTATTAAAAAACAGTTAAAGTACTTTATACTTGCCAGTTGTACATAATTCAGTTTCTTATTTTTCAGTTTCTCCAAAGCCTGAATAGCTTCTTTAGCAATGGGGAATGCTACTCCTTGCAATGTTTGATGCTTGGTATCCACACCAACATCCGTTTGTACCTGGAACACAAGTCAGTTGCGATGTAAACAGAAACCTTTGCAAGTATTCGATGGGTTTCATACAGTAACTGACAATGCATTGCATATGGTTACACACAGAGTTAGCAGTGGCTATTCCAAGAATAAACTACCCTAAAACATCATCCCCATATACAACAGATTTGCATTTTTTAATTTACAGGTCACAATTGCTTGCTTACCTAAAAACACTTTCATATCTCTGAAACAGCTAGCTTTGCAGAGCCAACGGAATCATCAGAGGGAAAACTGGCTCAAGTGTCAATGAAGAAGCTCTAAGTTAAATTCTGGTATAAAGACATAATAAGCCAGGAGGAAAGAGCTTGATTTGCATATGTGGTGTTATACTTTTGAGCTGACAACATTGCTTCTAAACTTTGTTTTATCTTGAAAAATTTTAGACCAAAACACACAAATGTCCTTTCTAGGGAGTCAAAATTTTCAGAGGAAGAAAGAGAAATTATATCTTATGAGACAAACTGATATTCTTGAAAGAAAAGCAAAGCAACTTCCCTCCCTCCTGCTTCAATATCCTCCCTCCAAAAGCCTATACCAAAAAGAAAGCAAACAGAACAAACAAACAAAATCTTAATTTTTAACTTCTAGAAGGTCTAACACAAATTAAAAAAATCCAGGGTAACTGCAAGCTAGACAATTGTTCATACTCCAGTTATGTTAGTCACAAATTATTTGAGATAAAACAGTTATTTTAAAGCTACTTTTCAAGAATTTATGTTTATAGAATCACAGAATGGTTTGGGTTGGAAGGGACCTTTCAAGGTCATCTAGTCCAACTCCCCTGCAGTGAGCAGGGACAACTGCCAGTAGATCAGGTTGCTCAGAGCTCTGTCCAACCTGACCTTGAATGGAGCTTCTACCAACCCTCTGGGCAATCTCTCCCAGTGTTTCACCACTCTCATTGTAAAAAATTTCTTCCATATATCTAGTCTGAATCTCCCCCTCTTTTAGTTTAAAACCATTACCCCATGTCCTATTGCTACAGGCTTTACTAAAAAGTCTGTCCCCATCTTTCTTATAGGCCTCCTTTAAGTATTGAAAGGCCACTATAAGGTCTCCCCAGAGGCTTCTCTTCAGGCTGAACAACCCCAACTCTCTCAGGCTTTCTTCATCAGGGAAGTGTTCCATCCCTCTGATCATTTTTGTGGCCCTCCTCTGGACCCGCTCCAACAGGTCCATGTCTTTCCTGTGCTGAGGACTCCAGAGCTGGACACAGTACTCCAGGTGGAGTCTCACCAGTGTAGAGCAGAGGGGGAGAATCAGCTCCCTCGACCTGCTGACCACACGTCTTTCTATGCAGCCCAGGATATGGTTGGCTTTATAAAAGGGGAGGGGAACACTGAATAATGCCTTAATGACTTTTCTCTGCCTTCCCCACACAATCAGTAGGGATATCAGAATAAACTAGGAGATAGCAGGCAGTAGATCTTTACGCAGCACTTTGTCAAGCTGCGGAATACACTGCCACAGGATCCATGGCCAACAAAAATTTTATGTGGATTTAGAAAAACAGCAAAACTATATGATGTATGAAAAACCCATTAAGAACAATTCTATGGTAAGATATCATCTCTTGCTCAGGAAGATCCCTACCTGCAAACGTTGAGGCAATAGAAGAGTATTCAAGAGAATTATCATGGTCACCTTGCCCTGCTATTACACCCTTCCTAGATTTCTGCCATTGTTCACTCGGGGACCTGATGGCAGACTAGGTGATCCTTATTTCTTAGGGTAACTATGAAAGAATATACATATGGAAAATTCTTTTTTTTTTTTTTAATCAGAAAGCTTTTAGTTTTCTGAGTCTAATTACAGGCTTCATAATGGTAGTAACAAAGAAGACCAAAATGACCTAAGTTAATGTATTGCAAGATGCTTCAAACAAAGCCAAAATGGCAGCAATCTACAATTTATGTATCTCTGAAAAGCACAGCTATTGCTGCTGAAGTTTCATAATAGCACATAAAGTTTTAGTCTGCATGAATCAACTGTTAAACACAACGTATGTAGTGCAGAAGAGATAATACTAATCCCAGAGGTGATCATGGATACCACAGAAGTTTTACATTCATTAATGGGTTTCTTTTTAAAAAAGCTGTTCAAGTAAAATGCAGTGTCTGATAACGATTCGTGCATTTCTACATTGGATTGGCCAAAATTAGACATGGAAAATAAAAAAATACACCACTGGAAAAAAAAAGTCAATAAACAACAAAGTTGCAGCAAAAGCATGGTAGAGTGAAAACATTAGAGAAGATACAGAGCTGCATTTAACACGACAATTTGCTGGCATCCAGCTGCAGAAACAAACTGTATTTCAAACACACGTGGATGGCTGTAAAATACAATCCTAAAGAACTAGTAAGACCAGCACATGACCTATTTTAATACATGTCTGAACACAGACAGTGATTGAGTGAAGGAAAAATGTGAGAAAAGAATGCTCTGAACTTTTCAGTCACTGGCTAGCTGGCAATCATCAAATTATTTGGTTAAAGGCATTCGTTAGAGGTTTTTCTATAAAGCATTCGTGGCAAAAGCCAATTAGTCTAGGCAAAAGGACTATCTACTTGTTTAGGATTTCTGTTTTATTTTTATTTTTATTGGAATTCCACTCACTTCCTCTCAGTCTTAAGACAAATGCATTCGTGCTGGAAGGTAAGTATGTTTCCTGTAGGGATAAGGCTGCTGAAATACTCCTGGCAATGATTCACTGGAACAGTTGCTACTTTGTGTTCTGTCTACAATTTCTGCCACCATGGGAAGCCACCTAGGCAATGACAGAATGGTTGAGGTTGGAAGGCACCTCCTGAGGTCATCTTGTCCAACCACCCTGCTCAATCAGGGCCACCTAGAGGCAGTTTCCCAGGTCTCTTTCCAGGCGACTTTTGAATATCTCCAAGATGGAAACTCCACCACCTCTCTGGGCAACCTGTGTGGTCACCATGAAGCCTACCTAGTGATACTAAAAGCATGTTAAGGGAAAGCTGAAACAATTAAGCTCTGTAGTTGCAAGGCATCTGACTAGGCTTTGCAAACTCAGTAAGATCATGCCACTCCAGCTCCAGCAATCATAACCCCTGCAATCTGAACTCATTGAGACACAAATTTATATTCTCATCCATACAAACTTTCTGAAACTTTCCATTTTCTGTCGTACCCTTTTTTACCCTAGAAGGGCTTTTTCTTTACAATACGTTTCGATCTCTGCACCCAGTTTCCCACCCATGCTCGAAGACATTGTATGTACCTCATTAATCTTAATTTGCCGAAGTTCCTCTTCTGCTGCAGTCAGAGGTGCAGGGGAGGACTGTGATATCAAATATTTTTTATATCCATTTAGTGAAACATCATCCTGAAAGAACAAAATCATTATGGATCATTTTTTATAATAAAAGTTTTCTTCAAAGATGCTGTATGCAGCATAAAAACAGCAGTTACTTCCCACACAGTTATGGTCATTTTATTTGAATGAATTACAAGTGCAGGTGCATTTGCAAATTCAGTTCATTTTCCTCTACAGCAGTCCAGTGGGCTGCTCTGGTTCCCAAATGTACTGCGAGCAGCATTTCCACAGTCAGTCCCTAATTAACCTTGCTAATTAAAAAATTAGCATTAATGAAGACTGTGTGCATGAAGTTATTCAGCCTTCTTGGGCAAAACCTCACAGAATTGCCACAATTCTAATAAATAATAATAATAAAATCTATTTTCTTATAAAATTTGCATGCTCAGACTGCTGGCTTATTGGTAGTTTTGTATCCGAAATACGGGAGACAGAAATGCTACCTTAGGACAGGGAGTAAAGACACGATAGTTTAGGATGCAAAGTCACAGAAGTGATGAATTCTGATAACCACTTTGGGGAATCTGTTAATATTCAGTGTCAGTTCTGTCCCTCTCCAAAGAGGCTGATACCAGAGGCAAATACTGTAGTGTTTTTATAATTAATCAGAAAATTAAGTCACTCAGAAAAGGGCAGGACTTCATGCAATCATATGAGTGTGATTTTATACTCTGAGGAGAGAGAGAAAGCTCCTTCTTAGCTCTTCTCTTTCTGAAAGAGATAGACTTTCCCAAATACCATTTCCAGTGTCAATACTCCATTGTGTCTTGTTTCAGGAGTTCAGAAGTGTTGAGGTTAATACATGTGAAGTAGCAGGTGGAACCACAACCAGGTTCCACCAGGATAACAGAGCTGGTTGCAACAACCTATCCTTGTGTCTAACAAAATAAAGACAGAGTAACCCACTCGATGCTGATGATCAAGACTCTGAGTGAGGTTTGCAACTTGAATATTTAAAGAAGCTGATTTTCACACAGATGAACATTAGAGGACAACTACGATGAAGAAGCTTAGAAAGACACTAAACCAAACAACTTAGAGATCTATTAAGCTGTAACATAACAAACTTGCAAAAAGCGAGCTCCATTGACTTCACCCTCTCAGTGCCCCAAGCACATTCCGAAATGACAGTAACAGACAGATGCAATGCAAGATGGAAGCTCAGACTTTCATCTCGCCCTACAAGTCAGAGCCCAAATTCTACATATTGCACAGACTGATAATGGTTCGGTGTGAGTGGTGCTGAGAAATCAATTGACTGAATGGAAAAGGAAAAAAAAAAAAAACACACATGACCTCTGCCAGTAAACCCTCTTAGCAACTTGGTTATCTACTTCTCTAGAATACAGCCTCTCCAGAGAAGTTTGTTAGTGTGTTAGGATAATGAAGCCTCCATCACAGGTTAATGCTGAATATAACAAATTATTTACTCAGTAAGCAGCAGAATTATTAGCCTCATGTCCTTATGGACTAATCTGTACACCACAACAACCCACGCCTCTTCCACAGTTTTTTCCCCACTACAATATCCTCTATTCTTCCTCAAATCTCCAACTCCTTCCCTTCCTCCAGCACCAGCTCCCTGTATCAATAGTGGTGACACTTTGGTTCAGATTTGTGCATATGATGAACTAATCAACAGGCCAAACAGAAGATACTGCTGCACTCTCTCTGTCTTTGCTGAAGGAGGAAAAGGGGAATGATAGTTTGGATCTCTAAGTAATTATCAGTTTTCAAGAAAGCTATAGGAATTCTGTATCTTTAAGAACTCTAACTTGTATTTCTTTAAAACTGGCAATGGATTAAAAAGTCAAGGCTGTCTGATGTCTGCCTGATAAACTGGCTGACATCACAACCATGAAAGACTTATTTCCCGAAGAAACCAAGGTAACAAAAGCCTCGTATTTCCTTACGTGCACAGCACTTGCAGGCTTTTCAACATCCCTTAGAAGTTTGTTAGATTTCACACATGCACCTTCCAATTATCTTACCATAAGTGAACAGTCAGCTATTAGTGTACAATGAAAGTACATTTTATGGTCAAATTCTAAAGAACTAACAGCTTAATACCCTTGGTTTAAGACAAAAACATTTGTTTTCAGACATTAACAGCTTGCAGATAGCTGTTCTAGCCCACTTGTGATTAAGAACCATACATCCAAAATGACCTGCATATACAATTGGCCTGAAAGTTACAGTGTTACAGCTTTCTGAGGATTCACATGCATGCAGAGAGATTAACAGATGCTTTTATTATTCCTGGATTATTTAGTTTTCACAGCCATTTGAAACAAGGGCTTCTTAGCCTGAAATTGTTAAATATACTTAGTTACCTCTTCAAATTACAGCAATTACATCTTAACATTGGAATAATATACATAGCTTTTAACTCTTTTTTCCTTAATTAAAAAAGAGCAGAAACACCACAAATTCATACCAGTAACATCAGCTACTACAGTTAGTATTTAAAGTCAGTGTGCTGACTTTAAAAAGAAAAACAATACCTGTACTGTTCCAAATACTTCATCCTTAATATGACCACCTCCAAATTCTTTCTTAAGTGTTGCTCGGGTTGCTGCATATAACATTTTTTGACGAACCTAGAACATCATAAAACAGCGTAGTTTTGGTTTGGGTTCTTTTTTTTTTTTTTTTTTTTCCTTTGGTGTACACAGAGAATCTTGCACACTGATGTATGAAGTCCATCAATAAACATCTTTCTTAAACAAATATTTTAAGTGTTGAAACTGCATTTTGAAGTTGTAATTCTTAATAAACTCTATGAAATGAGCTCTGGATCACAGTACTAACACATGCTATTCTCAAGGGCATGATACTATGCACTATTATAAAAGTAATTCCAAAACTAAATTGCAGCTTTAGTATAGAGTATAAGCTCTTTTTTTAAACGGGGGAAAAAAAAAAGTGAACATAATCTTTAGTAATGTTAAATGGGAAAACCCACAATGGCTTAGATCTTTTGTCACTGGTCTATGTCCTAATGGATAGAGCAGACAGAGAAAGAGCAAACTGCAAATAACTTATTATTATTATTATTATTATTATTTATTTGATAGTGACTCCAGATAGTTTTAGTTGAACTACAGAGTTTTCTGGGGGCAGAGATCTAATGATGATTGCTGCCTATCAACTTGTTTCTAACACAGTCACTTATTCCTCTCTTAACAGTCCCATCTTCCCACTTTATTTCACCATCAGGCCATCCTTACCACAACACCTCACCTATTCCACCTAATCTCTTTTATGCTCTCCAAATCTTGGTCTCTTACCATTTCCTAACTGCTAGTGAAAGTAGCAGGAATATGTGAATAGCTTTACTTTCTCTCTTCCCTTATCTCACATTCCCAGAACCTGTACACAGTATTCCAGCTTATCCTAGAAATCCTTAACTCTAACCTCAGTACTCTCTCATGTTCTCTGACTACTGACTAAGAAGCAGTATATTCTGTGGCAGGGCACAGATCCACAAGTGACAGTTGGGCAGCCAGCAAGCCAAACAGAACTAACACCTTGAGCTCACACTGTGATCCTTCTCTCTATGATAACACTCATTGAGATTTCTGTCCTATATCCTTCTGTGAATTTTCACGAAACACTGACAGACAGATAAACAAACAGGGCAAAACCACTGTCTTGTCTCCTCCAGTCAGGCTAGAAATAAACTGTATCTAGACCCCACTGATATTGCTCCTCAATCAGCTTCAAGAAAGGTGTTTTCACAGTTTTTCCCTGGGGAAAGCGAGGGCAAGGTTGGGGAATGCTTCATTCCTCAAATCTTCTTCCTTCCTATCTACGATTCAGAACAAATGGCACTGTTGAAAAACCATTAACAGCATGAAGCTTCTGATGATGGTTACTTACAGGAGAGTGGTCAGGTGACCATGCGATGAAGATCCATTCATATCCTTGAGCATTCCGGGAATCTAATCTGTATAATATATAACATGGTTGCTTGTCTTCAAGAAGGGGAAGGACAAAGGCATCATAATCCTTTTCCCACGATCCAACTGGCTGCCTAGAGGATCCCACAATAAGCTGCTCTGTAACCAATAACCAAAGCTACAGGTTAGCAACAATACAGTTAGTACCATTTTTCAAAATTAGCAATTACAATAGACAGTTAATCAGATATTTTGTCTTTCATAATTATGTTCACAAGAATAGAAGTCAAGAACAGTACGTGTGAAAGCAGGTGAATTCCTACAAAAGCTGTGTATGTTCAAACCCTAACTTACTTTAACCCAAATTCAAACAGTGGAGAAGTAATGTGCTGGCTGTCATAAAGCTCTTTGATCTGAAGGGATAAGACTGATGTTGGTGTTTTTAGCATAACGCACAGAGAAGGGAAATAAAATCTGTCTTCTGCCAGTTTATTTTTAAATTGGAATACGTAAGTAGAAGCAGAATGGTAGTAAGCTTTTAGATTTTAGAATTAAAATTATTGAAGTTCTTGCTGTAACATACTAGTGTTTGTACTCATTGTAAGGAATCAGTAACTCAGTTATACAGTGAAAAGAGTACGCAATGAATATGCTGGCGCTAATCACTTTAACTTGACTATGTAAGTAGATAAACCTCCTTCTAATACAGCTTCATAACTGTGGTCTCTTTAAATGACTGGAGTTGTTCATTATCTATAATTGGCTTAAGTCTGTATAATATAATTCAGATGGGATTTAATTATGTGAACAGCTGTAGCAACAAGATTTTTCTCTTACTTATAAATCACATCTCAGCTTCCAAAGGAAAGTATTAGTACAGTGTCTTTCAAAACATTTATCAGCTTTCCACTAAATACTAACCCCTACAACCAAAACAGAAATACCTTGTTTAAATGGGATCCTACAACAGTTTGAAGACCATCATAGTAGCCAGTATACAAAATATCTTTTGAGAATCTAGTACCTAACTTCTAAAACTTCAGACAAAAGTACAACAGAAAACAAAGGTCTCCACAGCAAAACTTTCATGGCACTCTACCACAGTAAAACACAGAACATGAACAGCCAAGGGAGAGGGTGTTTGGCCCTTCTCTGAATTAGTTGCAAAGTGGTACACCTAGACCAGAGCATTAGGAATGTACTTGCCAGTTCTGAACTCTATGTGGCTTTATATTCACTGGGATTTAAGATTAAAAAAATAATAATAATATCAGAGGAACTCTACTGCCCAGCAGCAAATCTCTTCTCTTACTAACTCAGATTAGCAGAACTCAATTTGACTATTATCTGTTGACTAAGAACAGTTGCTGAAAGCTTCTGCAGACAGTTAAGGCAATTTTCCCTCTTCCAGTATTATGGGAGTTATAGAGGTTTCTTTTTGAACTGTGGAAAACAGTATCAAAGACTAGATTCTGCTTCTACAGACAAAATGCATATATATATATATATATATGTACACACCCACACCAACACACATCTTCCATTTATATCTTATTTCTAGGTTTTATTTAGTATCAAAAAGTAGCATACACACAAAAGCATATTATTTACCTTGCCTAATGGAAATAATAATAATAATAATAAAAAAAATTCAATGTTATGTCAGCATTTGCTACCTTGTGCTAGTAAGACTTTACCACAGTGACCTATCTACAATATTACTAATGCTACTTCCTTAAGGAAAACAAATGCAGAAGACTTGGCAAGAAAAGCAAACATAAAGAAGGTAACAGTGGGTTATTTACTTAACAATGAAAAAAAGAAAAAACTACACATTCTGTCTTGCAACGTTTGCAACCTTGATCACTCGCCAAGAAGTTCAAAGATCAAACTCAAGCTCTGCAAGAAATTATGTAATTTGATATTTATACATATATGTGAGATTTAAGGAACAGTTTTAACTTTGAAAATTTGTACAAAGTCACAGACTTTTAAAGGTATTTTCTATGTATCCAGATTACTATTTAACATCTGCTTTAATAGGACTTTCTACATGCAGCTGATCCCAGTATAAAAGTCAGATAATGTTTATCCTTCATCGAAGGTGACTAGCTGCTGTGTAAGAATCTCTCTGTCTAATGAAAGTAACAAAAGTACCAAAACACTACACAGGTATAGAATTTTTTGTCCTCTGCTCTTTCTTTAATAAGAAGATAAGAGTAAGCTCATTTATATTATCCATATGAAATACACAGCAGTTCTTGGTGAAATATGAAATGACACTTGGAAGAAAAATTTAAAAACACAGTAGCATCATACTGAAAAGTTCAGCATCACCAAAACTTAAATCTTACCTTCTGTATATGAAAGATCTTAGTAACATCAAGTTTTGTGGAGTTTTGTTTTTTAAACAATTGAACATGTATGTCACTAAGACAACTAGGAAAATAAAAGATTCAGAGAAAAAGATTAAAATTTGACTAACCATTGTCAATGACTATTTTCAAAAGCCTGTATTGTCCATTTCTGGCTCCAACAAAGGTGTCTTTAACACTTCCACTAGCTGAAAAAGAGAAAATAAAAGTAACCAAATTAACATGTTTCACTCCCCTAGGACAAAGAGTACTCACAAAGGTAAGAACATCACCAGAAAAGCATGCAACTGGCCCTTCACTACAGAGTTGGACTGAAAAAGGAACACAGGAGTGATGTTCCCTCTATGCTGCATACTGTTCCAGACACCAGCAGGCCACAAAAAGATGACAGGCAACACTACACAACAGCCCTGCTTTCTAGCATACCATATGATTTTCAACATTGTGAAAATTAAAGCTGACATCACATCATCACTCTCAGGTTTCAGAGTTAACACAGCAACACAATAAAAATATGACGCATCTCAAATGACAATAGCTTCATGAAGTCTGCAGGCTCAGTGCAAACTTTCAGACAGAAACTTTACACCTGCCAGGAAAATGTTAGAGCCTGCCTGGCAAACGTGCTGGCTTTCCTGAGGACACCTCTCTGAAGAGCACCAGTGAAGGCTGCCACCCATTGCTCCCCTTTCATATCACCTTATCTCCTTGTATGTATTTTGATGACATTGTTCAGACCCTGACCTATTGCAACAGGACAGCTTTGTAATGAATTGACAAAGAAGTCACTAAAAATATTTTAGTGTCTGTAATTCACATGGACGCTACACCACAAACACGACAGACCCACCTCCCTAAGCACACTGAAGAACTGTTCTTGAGTCATGCGAAGATCATTCTTACCTCAACTGCTCTGCTAAATAATCTGAGTGCAAATCAGTTTAACTATATTGTAGGCAGGGGGCTGTACAGCATTTACTGAAAAATATTTATTGCAAGCTGGTCCTTTTAAGTAATCTCAGGGCATACAGCATAGCATCAACCAAACAAACATAAAACCAGGAAACAAATAAAAAGGATTAGTTATAGTCAGGTTGGGGCCAACTGAACAGATGGTAACCAGCAACGTTACTGCCCATACTCAAAACATTTTAAATTTATGCCCATCAAACTGATGTCCAGGCCCATTCTAAAATTCCAAAATGGTGTGGGAGGGGAAGGGGGTGTTAAATAAACTGAACTGCATTGGGTTACAGTCCAACCCTAGCTTCATCCCAGTTATCATATTCCCACTAAACAGTGCAGACCCTTGTTGTGATTTGCTGCCAGCTTTTCTAATTGTCTTTGCCGATCCTCACCATTCCATTCAGTGCACAAACACTGCACCACTTTCCAGACCTTCTGGTTCCCCCAGGACTTTTTTTGTTCTCTTCTTGTCTATTGTATTTTTGTTCTTTATTCTCTCACTTCAACCCTACACAACAAAACAAGACCAAAATAAAGCAGTACCTGCACCAATACCAGGGCTGTGACAGCTCCTGAAGTAACATTTTGATACAAGACGTTTGAGAAACCATCTGATTATCAAGTGATCTATGCTTTTTCTTTCATAAAGGTTGTAAAATTCACAACAGAACAATATTATTTTCTATTTAAACTTTCTGCACAGCAGAGACCTACAGAATTAAAATTTGTGGTTATTTCACAGGGAATATTATTTACAGATTATTTAGAAGACTGTGAACATGTTCTAGTTTACTTTTCCATAGCTCCACGTATTCTGCGAGTTCCTACACTATTTATCTGCACAGGTCTGTTTGAAAGTCCAGTCCTTTTAGCAACTGCCTGGTACATTTCACTGTCCTCATGACTTCATTTCTGTTTCCAGAAAGAGAGCCCATGCTGCCAAATCTTGCAATTGTTTATGAGTGACAGTAGCCTGTTTGTAGCTAAAGCCACCAATGGCACAACAAGTGCTATTCCTCTTCCAAACTGCGGAAGCCGATGCTTTGCTGCAAACAGGACCCTTGATTAGTGGCTGCCAAGGCAGGATCCATGCAGGAAAGCTGCCGAGTTCTCTGCAGCTCTCCTCAGAGGACAAAAGATTCTCAAAGACATGAAGGAGAGCAGCAGAAGAGGCTTAGCCACTCTTCTGGCTTGTGGTAAGCAACAGACATTCTTCTGCTCCTACCTCCAGCACTGACAGGTGAAACAACAAGGGAATAAAGAGCTACTGTAAGAGTTTTACCCAGCCTGGAAGAAAGCTGTCCCAGACGCACCTCTATCCTGACGAGGGTTGAGGAATTTAAAACAAGAAGCACCAAAAAGAGGAAAAACTGGTGTGCAGGGGAAGGAAAAGGAGAGAGGCGAAATGGTCTGGACCAAATGCAGCCAACGGACATAAAAGGGAATAGAAGAGCAGTTAAGAGCTGCCGTGGCAGGGACAAAAGTCACCTTCAACAATAAATGTGGGAGTGCAGGCAAAGTACATGGTACCAGTAACCGAACAAGCAGACTGCAGAAACTGAGGCAATAAACCCGACCCCCCATCATCCTGCAGTGCAATTCCAGCAACGCTCTGATTCGGGGGGACCCGGTAATACCGAGAAACAATGTGCTGTCTTCTGAGTGCTCCTCACACCCTCCAAGGCCTGGAAACACGGGGGAAAAAAAGGATACCCCACACTTTTCCCCTTCGCGGCCCCCGAGATGGGGTTTCTAACGGGCTTCCCTCCTCTGGGGCTCCTGCTTCCCCCCGGGTCCTCCTGTGCTCTGCCGCTCCCCCCGGAGGCCCGGCAGCGAG